TGAATATTTGTTCAACATATTAGCCATTAGTCAAATGTAAATTAAAATCATGATGAGATACCATAACACACCTATTATAGTGGCTAAGATAAAAATACTGACAATACCAAGTGCTGACATGAATGCAGAGAACGTGGATCGCACATACATTCCTGGTGAAAATAAAAAGTGGTACGGCTATTCTGGAAAACAGCGTGGTGGTTTCTTGTAACGTAGAGTATATACTTACCATGCAACCTAGCAATTACACTGCTGGGTATTTATCCCAGGGAAATGAAAACATTTATGTTCACACAAAAACCTATTCCCAAATGTTCACAGCAGCTTTATTTGTAATAGCCAAAAACTGGAAGTCGGCCAAATATCCTTATCCTTCAACAGGTGAATGATTAAACAAATGGTGTTAAGTCTGTACAACAAATTTCCATTCAGCAATAAAAAGAAATGAGCTGTTGATATAGCCAACAACTTGAATGACAAAATTATAGTGATGGGGGCCAGGGGCTGGGAGTGGTAGAGGGTGTGACTATAAAGAGAGAACATGAAAGAGTTTCTTTGTGGTGATGGAACAGCTGTGCATCCTGGTTGTGGTGGCGGCTGCACAAATCTATCCATGTGATCAAATTTCATAAATCCATACACCACAAAAAGTACATGTAAAAACTGGTGGAATCGAACAATAGTTAAATTAATAGTGTGCCAATGTCATTTTTTTGGGGGGGGGGGGTAAAATATTAGATGTTACCATTAAGCCATGTGAAGTATAGATGGGAACTCTGTACTGTTTTTACAGTTTCTTGGGATTATCAAATTTTTTTTCAAAATAAAATATGACCAAATAGACAAAACTGCAAAACAAAGCACTCTGGGTCTTCTCACTCCACGTCTGAGCTCTGCCTACTGGCAGTGACACCCCCGTCTGATGCTTCACTATTAGCCTTTGCCAGGACATATGAATTGAAAAGAGAGTAAGGCAACATTTTGGATAAAACAGTGTTTCCCAAAGGGTTCTGTTAAACACTAATTCAGCAGGAATTCCTATTAGGCCAGAATAACTATTCTGTGTCCAGACAAATTTAGGAAACGCTGGGTTAACTTCCTGGCTGAAAGATTGCTTCGTAGGACATGAACATATGTTGTGGATCTCCAAGAGGGGGCTACAGAATACAGCAATTCCCTAACATTTGTCCACAGAATCTTTCCCCTCCTTCTCTGGGTGTCCTAGAGGCTCATGTGCTTAAGAAACACTGAGCTAAAGCATTCATCAGAGAAGAGCGAGGCATAAGGAATCGTGTTTACTTTGGAGCCAGGCCTTTGGGGATCATCAGCGTTTGCCATGCGGTGAGTGTAACGACACAGGAGATATATGTTGGAGAAAGAGAGTCAATACTTATTGTATGAAAAGGTCTGAGTTTTATTTTTTTGGTTCTCCACGTTGACTTGAGACTTTGGAGAAGATTGCTTCTCCCCTTCTTCTCTCTTAGGGGTGAAGGCCCTGACAGTGGAATTGGATGGAGTAGAGAACAGCGAACAACTCACCCTGGAGGCTGCGCACGAGGAGATGGCCTTTGGGAAAGTGGGGTGGAGGGCCATGAGGAAGCAGATCCATGGGTGGTGTATTTTCTGATGACTACAGGGTTGGCCACATGGACTGAAACTTGGGGGTGGAGGAGACTGAAGAAGTCACCCCAAATCTCTACCTTTCTGTGCAATTTTTGTGGATTATAACATATCTCGGTGCATTAGCTCTCTCTCATTGCAGAACACATTACCCTCAAACTTAGCAGCAATAACCTTTAAAACGGAAATGACATTGATTAGCTCCCACAGTGTCTTTGGGTAAGGAATTCAGGAGTGACTGAGTGGTCCTGGGTCATGGTCTCTCAAGGTGCTGGGATTGTCTGGAGGTTGGTTTGGGGCTGGAGGCTATGAATCCAGCATGGCTGGCCTGTCCGTGCTGCCTACTGGCAAGAAACCTCAGTTTCTCCATGAGGACCGCTCATAAGGCTGCTTGAGTGTTCTCCAACACGGCAGCTGGCTTCTTCCAGAGCAAGTGATCCAAGAGAGAGCAAGTTAGAAGCCGCAATTCTTTTATGATGTAGTCTTGGAGGCCACACTCCATCATTTCAGCAATATCCCATTGGTTACACACATCAGCCCTATTCAGCCCTATTCAGTGTGGCATGAATTCTGGCACGAAAGAATCGTTGAGGGCCATCCTAAAGGCTGGTTACAAAACCCTATAACAATAGAAATACTGAGTGAACAGTCTTCAGTAGATGGTAGAAGTTCTGAAATGGTTAAGCGCATTTGCTAGAGGCTGTACCATTCTGGGGTCCCAGTTTGGTCATTTCTTCAACAGATATTTATTGAGCACCGACTACGTGCCATCAGTTTGCTTTGGACATTTGCAGAGGGAGCCCTGCTAGAGAAGCATATCCCAGGAGCACTGTCAGGAAGCAGACAGACAGGCTCAGGAAGAAGCACTGCCTTGGTTGGTGACCAGACCTGCATACCTGGCCGCCATCCTCATCATTTGAGCAGGGGCCTCAAGGAGTGCACCAGCCTGAACAGCACTTCTGCCCTCTGTTTGTTGGATAATGACTTCATTTCGTGTACTCTGCTTAAGCGATCGCCTCCCCGCTCCCTCCTCTCTTTCTGGTCATAATTCTGTCTGTTCCCATTTTATCTGCAGACAGGTGCTCTCCAAACCACACTCCCCACATGTACTAAAGCTCAATAGTTTCCTGCTGCCTTCTCCCATATTTCCAAAAGCAAGCTCCTCTCTCCTTACACAGAGAGCCTACCCTGATGGGGAACTTGATTAAAGCACAATTTGCCTCTTCCCTCAGGCTATTTATGTCTCAGTCAAAAGTCTTGGTTGCCAAAGAGCAATAAACTCTGCCCATCTTCAGAATAAAGGAATTTCTTAGAAGACATCTGAGTTCTCAGAATTGATAGATGTCTTGAAGGTCAAGCTTAGGAAATGGGTACAAACCCGCCTGGCAGGCATCGCTCAGTGGTTGAGCGTCGACTTATGAACCAGGAGGTCATGGTTAAATTCCCTGTCAGGGCACGTGCCTGGGTTGCAGGCTTGATCCCCAGTGGGGAGTGTGTAGGAGGCAGTCGATCAATAATTCTCTCTCATCATTGATATTTCTATCTCTCTCTCCTTCTCCCTTTCTTTCTGAAATCAATAGATAGATTTAAAATGTGACAGATGTAGAAAACAAAAAAGTGGGTACAAATCCTGGACCTTCTGCAGGGCCAGGCAGCAGGGGCGATGTGGTCAGTGTGCCACTGTGGCCACTGTGCTCATGCTCCTTCAACTGCTCCTCCTCCTCCTGTCCTTGCTTCACAGCCTTAGGATCCAAAATCCTGGAAAATCGTATCTTTAGTTTGGTCAAGGTCAATACTGGCCTCAGGCTCCAGGAAAAAATAAGACTTGACCCATTTTGTATAAAATAAAATGAAAATGAAAAAGCCAATGTTTTTACATGTTTACTAATTCTTTCAATGGCTCTCACTGATCTGTCACCATGCCACTCACACGGAAGCTCTCCAGTGCTCAGTGAGTAGACAATTACTTCACCGTCCTTAGGATCCACCCAAGCCTTGCATTTTTCATAAATGAGCCCTCTAAATTGGCAAACACTCTCAAGAAGTGGTTTAATTGGATGTTCTGTTAATTTACCAATAATCATCTCCTAATGCCATTTATTACGGAAAATTAGATGAATGTAGAACGAGCAGAAAAATATTGATTGCCGCCCTCTGAATTTTTAATGAGTATTTGATTTATGAATTAATTCTTCATTTCATTAATTAGAGTAGCAAGGCAGTCTCCCAAACAAGGCCACGGTGCTGAGGATTATTGTGACTTTCTCATCAGCAATTTTAGATAACGATTCATTAAAATGAATTTCTTCTCTGGTCCAAGTTTTGTATCCTGCTCTAGCAGGAGCCTTATGCTTTGTGATTTTTTTATGTTCCTTCTCTCATCCTTTGTTTTTGATCTATTTGCCCTTTTTGGACAAATTTTTTCATCTTCCATAGGTGGTGGCCTGGTTGACCTCTACCATGCCCCAGGGTCCTGTAAGTTCATTCAGAAGAGCATTTGGTTCTAGTTGGCTTAAAGGGCCCCTAAATATGCAAACATCTGTCCTCAAAAGGTAGCCACAGCTTGGTATGTAGCAGGGGCACAATTAATTACTTGTGGAATGATTGAGAGAATCAGTGAACACACGCTTTCTGTTTTTCAAAGATCTCCCACAACGAGTATCCTGTTCCCTCTTTTAAATCACCTCTAGAATTGGAGAAAAGATGGCCTGGTTGACCAGAAGCTCTGGTCCTGGAGTAGACAGAATCCTGTCTTTGCTATATGCTAACTATGTGATGATCTTCTGTTTCTTCATCAATGAAATGGGAAGAATTAGATTCTCTGTTTCATGGGGTTTACTTTGTGGTTGCCCTCTGCAACCCCAAATTGGTTCAGATGTTGACACGGATGATGTCACAGATGCACCAAAAGGGTATAAGACATTTATTGCAGCATGAGACTTTCTGGGGGAGGACTGGGCAGGCACCCAAGATGGTCTTCTATGGTTAGGGGTGAGGCTGGGGCGAGAGTTTCCACACACGAGCAGGTTTTGCATGGTTTGAATTTCCCCATGGGAGGAAGTGTCCGGGCTTTTATCAGCTTGCCCAGGTGTGGGGCAAAGGAAAATGGGAATAATGGGGCCTTGAAAGCTGTCAGCAGGCAAATATTAAAGATGGAGTCTGACTGTCATGAGAAAATAGTTGCTTAAAGCACATCATAGCCCAGTGTAGGGCTAAGTGTTTAATAAGGGGATTATCAATGCAATGATTGGTTTAATCCTTTTAAGAAGCTTTTGCATTTATTAACTCATTCTCTCTGTATATCAATGCAAGAAACTGAGAGACCTGCTCAGAAGTTATTCTGGCAGAAAGAAAACAGTTGACAAATGGTAGCTGCTGACCTCACTCTCACCATTGCCATCATCATCACCAGCTTTATCATCATCATCACCATGATCATCATCACCATGGCTACTGCCGCAATCAGCAGCAGCAGCACCAACACCATCCCATCGTCCCCAGCAGTGCGCCTTCATTGCACCACCAGCAGCCATTGCCATATTCACTATCTCCACCACCACCATCATCACAGGATTTCTCTTATATTACGTATATCTACTTTCTTAGTTTGGAGAACTATGTTGCAGACAAAATGACATTAGCTATTAGTAACAAAAAATAAAGGCCCATCTTGCTTAAGAATAAGGAATTTAGTCTCTCACGTAGCAAGAAGTCCAAGAAGGGTGGTTCCAGGAGCTCAAAGACATCTTTAAAAACCCATGTTCTTGGTTTGTTCTGCTCTGCTATCCTCATCACACTATCTAGTCCTCCTCGGTTGGTTTACCATTCACACATACAAATGTGTGTTTTGGTAGAAAAGAAGAATGTTTCTTCCATGAGTTTCTTTTTCATCAAGTAAAATCTTTTACAGAATTGTCTCCCCACAATCTCCCTCCCTCTAGCAGTTTCTCCCGATGTCCCATTGGCTAGAATGATGCCACATGGTCATGCATAAACCCATCACTGGCAAGGGGCGTGGTTTAGCCCAGTCCTGTGGGGTGGAACTGATTCCTCTGAAGTTTACAGGGCGTGCATGTCAATCCAACAAGGAGAAGGGAGGAGGGACTCCGGTGGGCAGTCAGTGGAAACTGCTGCAGGGTCTGTTGACTGAGCGCCTGTGCAAGAAGCAGAACATGGTGGGACCTTTTCCTCTGGCCAGGGTAGATGGTGATTAGTCCTCATGAAGCATCATTAGGCTGTCAGACAGAGAAACTCACTCCAATGAACCGAAGGGAAAAGAAAACTTATTGGGATGATATTGGGATATATCAGAGTCTCAGAGAATGCAGGCGTGAGGGCAGGTCTGGGAACCTCATTCTAATGCTCTGCCATCAGTGTGTCAACCAGCAGACATCTGGACACGGAGCAGCTGCATCCTCCCAACTTCTCTCTGTGCATCTGTTTCACTCTCCTGTCTCTGCCAACTTGTGTTGTCGGCTGTGTTCTGCCCACACTCTGCCAGCCCTGGCTTTGTAATGCCTTCTGTTCATAATTCCAATGGAGCCGATTGCAGGTTCTGAGGAGAGAGAATTTGATTGCTGCATCTTGAACCAATGAGGTCCACCAGTGTTCACCCCTGCTCCGATGGGCAGAGGCTGGAGGTTGGGTCGTGTTGCCACCTGGTCGCTTTGCCCATCCATCAGGGGCCACTTGAGAACTTCCTCTGAGAAGGGGTCAGGGAGTTTCTCTGGAGGTGTCAGGCAGGGAGGAAATGACTGTTCGGAGGAAATATGGGGCCCTTCTCTTGCTGTGAAAGGCTAAATAAATACCTTGCAGTCTGCTCACCACAGCAGTCGCCATGCCTCACCCGAGGGACTGGTTGGCATAGTGGTGTCTCCCTCATATGTGTAATATGTAGACAGCAAAGACCCAAAAAAGGCACTGCAGCAAAAGGAACACAGTGCTTTCGTAAACAGGCTCCTTTATAAGTATTATTCTGAGCACTCTCATAATGACAGAGTTCTCACTGATATTCTTGGAATCTCATTTTATAAACCCCTGTTATCTACTTCCTCCCATACAACAGATGTTCTCTATACCCATATCCCTCCACAAACACAAAACCAAAGGCCTTTTTCAGATTTCACCCTTGCCTGCCTCCGCTTAAACTGCTTCACCCTCTTTTCCTCCCAATTCCCACCACCAAACCCATAGAACCCATCTGGCTGGGCCAGACCCTCCTTGGAGGGTGGAGTCAAGAAGTGAGCTATAGCCCTGGCCAGTGTTGTTCAGTGGTTAGAGTGTCAACCTGTGCACAGAAGGGTCGTGGGTCAAAGGCATGTACCTGGGTTGCAGGTTCGATAGCTGGCCCTGGTCAGGGTGCATGCAGGAGGCAACCAATCAATGTGTCTCTCTCATATCGATGTTTCTCTCTCTCCTCTGCACCTCTTCCCCTCTCTCCCTCCTTTCCACTCTCTCTTTTCAAAGTAATGGAAAAAATATCCTCAAGCGAGGATTAACAAGAACAACAACAAAAGAGAAGTGGGCTGCAAAGGCTAATTTTATGTGCAAACTTGGATGGCCGTGGTAAGCATATATTTGCTGAAACATTATTCTGAATGTTCCCATGAAGGTGTTTCTCGAATGAGGTTAACATTTAAATCTGTGGAAGCAAATTGCCCTCCATAGTGTGGGTGGGCCTCATCTAATCAGTTGAAGACGCTAATAGAACAAAGGAAAAGGTATTCTGACAGCACACTGCCTTTGGACTTGAACTGAAACTTCCTTAAGTGTCCAGCTTGCCAGTCTACCTTGCACATTTTGGACTTATCAAACCTCCATTATTACATGATCCAATTCCTTATAAGAAATCTCTCCTACTCTATAGATGTACACACATCCTGTTGGTTCTACTTCTCTGGAGAACCCTGACTAGTGCATTGTTCCAAGCCTGAACTCTCTTGTGTGGGCAGGGGGTGAGGAAAGTCTAGGGATACATTCACAGTTAATATTGATGACATCACAGGTGGGACGATTCTGGAAACTGCATTTTGTTTTCTGCAGCTGCAGGTCAGATTCCCTGTCCTGAGCGGATTCCTTCCTGGGGCAACATTGAACACCCTGCCAGCTGCACAGAGACGCTGTGGCCTTTCTACTCCTTGTCTCCTGACCCCATTGTAACCGCCAAGGGTCTCACTTGGCCTTAGATCAGTGGTTCTTAATGGAGCACATTTGTCCCCTGGGGACATTTGGCAAAGTCCGGAGACATGTTTGGTTGTCACACTGGGAAGCAGGTGGTATGGCTGGTATCTAGTGGGCAGAGGTCAGTGATGTGGCTGAACGTCCTACAATGCACAGCACAGCCCACAGCCACCCCAACAGAGACTTATCTGGCCCAAAATGTCAATAGAGCCAAGATTGAGGAACTCGCCAGTGGTGGACAAACTGCGGCTCTCTGGCCCCTTGAGTGTGGCTCTTCCTAAGCCTTAGGAGTACCCTAATTAAGTTAATAACAATGTACCTACCTATATAGTTTAAGTTTAAAAAATTTGGCTCTCAAAAGAAATTTCAATCGTCGTACTGTTGATATTTGGCTCTGTTGACTAATGAGTTTGCCGACCACTGGTCTAGACAATTCACTAACATGAAACAGGCCTTCCTTTCAACCCTAGCTTCCAGGAGATATTTATTGTTCCTTTCTGTTGTGCTCTCTGTTTCTCTTTCTCACACACACACACACACACACACACACACACACACACACAGTCTTTTTCTAGTGTCACTTTATCAGTTGAGAGAATATGACAGAGACAGAAGAGACAGCGTTTTATTTCACGGTATCTCTTGACCTGTAACATCCCAGTGCTCACTGCCCAGGGCCTCCGGTTCCCCAGCATAAAATCTGTGAGATTTAAATATATTCTCTGGGATGCTGTACAGAACACACAGATATGAGGTAGTGAGGTCCTTTCCCAAAGCCCTACTCCGCTCAGAATCGCCGGGCGGTAATCCGATCAGGGCTTTTGTCCTATTAACATGGGTGTGTGACGCCAACCACGCCCAGACTGAAGCGGAGTGGGGCAGTCAGCACTGTGCACCCCCTTCTCTAGGTAATGAGCTTTATTTTGCCCAAAATGAGCATTAAAGAGGCACCGGTGTTTCTAACGATGGTTTTGTTTGTCTTGGGAAATGTGAGACGTTGCCACATAATGATAATCATTATCTTCAGGCTTATTCTGGGATTGATGGATTATTATAATGCTGTGGAAAATTATTTTCCAATAAATGTTAAATTTTGTTTTTTTCGGAGCCTCTCTCTGCCACGTTTAGTGTTTGCTTCTGCATTACAGATGTGTGAATCTCAGACAAACGGCTGACAAAGGCTGCTGTGTTTCCTCTGCCATTTCCGACTCTTTTCAAAATACATATCCCATGTTAATTATTTGGTGGCCTTGGTATCCTTTCTTAATAGGAGAAGCTTGGTGAGCTTTGTGAAGCTTTTTAGTGAGGTTCTCAAACATTAAGATGGGTGATTTCCACAAAATTCTCAAGTTCAACCAGGTAGGTTGTAACGGTTTCGGTCACCAATGCAATTTTTTTTTTTCATTCATGGATTGCTTATCGCTGGGCAGGCAACACTGTGTGGAGCTGATGGACCTGCTTCAGAGGGTGCTCCCCACGGGCCAGATCTTTCTCTCGCAGTGGCTGCAGCTTCTGGGTGGTGGCCTACTGTTTTCCAAGTGGGTGCGAGGAAATACACAGCGTTCTCCCCTTGACCTGCTTCCCCCTCCTGCTCTCCTCTCTGAGATGCACCCACTCAGTGCTTCTGCTGCACAGCCAGGGGCCTAAAGGTTAATCCCTAGGATGAAACGATCAACACTCAGTCGGTGGGTGAATGTTTACTGACCAACCCCTATGGTCAGATCCAGGGTGTGACAGACGCGACAAAGACCCTGACCCAGAGCAGGTCCCCGTCCCTATTCTCAGAGTCTCTGCAGCTCAAACCCTCTTTAGCACTAGGGTGCAGGGATAAACACAGACTGGAATGCCACATCAAACGGCAAGAAGTAGAGATCTTACCCCGTACCCAGCTTCACCGACGTTGTTAAGGACACAAGTTACTGCCAGGCACAGTGAGGCAGGGAGAGACCAGGGTCCGCCAGTGGAGTCCCCAGTGAGCATGGGAGCAGATCCTTTCTCGGTCCAGCCTTAAGATGAGACTTAAGATGAGACCGTAGTTCCCGCTGACAGCTTGGTTGCAGGCCTGTGGGAGACCTTGAGGAAGAGGCCCCTCGCTAAGCTGAACCGGATTCCTGACCACAAGGTGTATTGTTTTAAGCTACCAAGTTTTGGGGTCATTTGTTACACAGCAACAGATAACTAATATGATCACAGCCAAACTTCAGGTGCAAAATGCCACACAGAAGTCCAGGAACCTCTGAAGTGTATACCTAGTGGACTGAGTGTCCTTAAGAAGCAAAAACAGCATGTGTCTTGGGATCCCAGGCA